GGCTAAACGAACTCGAGTTGCACTGTGGTGTGTGGGTTTTTTCCTATATTTTTCTTCCTTTCCATGTTTCTCCTACATTGTTTTGTAACTTATACGGATTTCGTGGAGGAGTAAAATTCCCTAAATTGCATCCATTTTTACAATGCACTGCATTCCAGAGAAGACGAATATGCGGAGGAGGTGGCAATAAGAAGAGGAAGGACAATTCTACTGTAACAATCCACACTACGCAATTTAAATTCATTCCATTGCTTTGTCCCGGTTACTGTTCTTTAAGAATGCATGCACAATTGCCTCCTCCCTCATTCTTTCCCCCGGGTAAAAAATTGCATCTCTTCCTTCCTTAATATGCATGCACATTTCACTCAGGGCCAAGCATCTTGATCCGTGATGACATCGAGAAGTAAAATAAAACAAGAGAGGAGGAAAAAAACCTTCAAAAAATAACGAATCAACGATTTTTTTCCAAAAATGCCACAAACTCCGCTGTCTGCACCAACCAAAGAACCACCGTTAACCTCCACACATTTAGCACTTGGTAACTTTTTCCGTGACACAAATTGCCTCCAGCAAGTCGTAACATTTTGGCAGAAAGTGTCAGCTCTTTTAGACACACGAAACTATGTACGAGGTGGAGACCAGCCTGGATATTACACTCCTTCTTCTTCTCAACCTTTTCCTCCCCATGAAAGAAAGTGGGTTGCACACACACATACATACACACACACATTTATATTCTACTTAATAAAGCGCTTAGCAAGCGAATGTTTGAGATTTATGGCTTTAGTTTCTCTCCTCCAACACAAAATTATTAATATTGAAAAGGAAAATATTAAAACGGGTCGTGTGCTTTCACTTGGGCTCCCTCCGAATACATACATACATAAAGTAGCAGGCAGCCAGGCAGGCACAACTGGCTGGTGCTGGTGGTGCCTTATTCATTCATGAAACGGGCAAATTAAGCCACGAAAACCAGGATTCAATCGATAACGAGGTTTTTCATTATGATGAAAAACGAGGATTTTTATTACCGGGTGAGTGGCTTCGTTTCGTTGCACGGTTATCAGCCAGATTTCGACCGATTTTACATTGCAGAGACACACCCTTTCTTTTTCCTCTCCCCGTGTCCACGTTACGTTTTCGGCGTGACGTGCCTGTCTGGCTGTTTTTGTGTCAAATTGTGTTTTCATTTTTTTTACCACCACCACCACCACCACCTAAAATTCTATAGAGAACAAAGTAAAAGTAGAAAAAAGTGGCGACTCAATGAATTGGCAGATGCAGTTTGGCGTCGTGTGATTGACTGACTTGACATTATTGATTATGGAAAGCAGCCATTATCCGGGATGCGATGCACTGGTGTTGTTTATCTGGCTGCATTTCATTGCATTTTGGTGTAAATCGTGCCCGGTTTGTTGCAGACGGTGCGTCGTGTCGTGGTTGTGGTTCAATTTCAATTCTTTACATTTTTTCCACTCCATCCACCCCTTTCTCTCTCGTTTATAGTGTTCATTGCTCTACCACACATTTTATTGGGTTTTATTGACTATCAGAAACACGAAAGTTGGAAGAATAAAAAACAAATCACACACAATTGCTGCTGCTGCTCTTTCTCTGCATTTCATCAGTTGTTGTTATCGGGATGATGAAAATTGGGGAGTAAAAATAAAACGGAGAAATATCCATGAAATATGACCAGCCATAGTCAGGCAGTCAACATAATGGGGTAATGGACTCTTATTTTTGTGAAATTGAGCAGCACCAGAAGCACCAAAAGTTTGTGGGGGTACAAGATTTCTATGCACCAAGCAGCATAATCCACAATATTTCTTTTGTTATATTATTGCACCCATTCTCTGACTGCATCTGAGTCTGACAACTAACTTGGCGCAGGTCGATTTTTTTCTGCCTTCTTCAAAAACAAATTCAAGGTTCTTCCAGCCAACAATAAATTCATTTTTTGAAATATGTATGACAGGTCGAGTAGAGTCGAGTCGAATCAGAAATCAAAAATCCATGGCGGCCTAACTGTCAATCGAGGAGAAGCTTTTGATCAAGAAAAGCTTTCAGTATTTAGGTGCATAGGTAGGGAGTCAATTGGACCGAATTTATGAGCATGGGTGGTAAAAACATTGTCCCAATTGGTTCAATACACACCCCTGCGCGACACAACCTTTGACGGAATGACGGTGACAAAAAATGACATGATTTTCTCATTGTCCTGAAAGGGGCTCGATTAAAAGGATGAATTCAAAATATATTTCCCAGAATTAATAGGTACAGCTAAAACTACTATTAATATTTTTTCGTGAGATTTAAACCCTTAAAAATTACGCAACATTTTTTGGGGGGTTTCGTATGATTGAAACCCTTGAAAATTACGCAGTCACAACTACTGAACTCTGAAAAAGTGAGTGAGACCACGTTAAGAAGAAGAAGACAAAGTGCATTAGTAACCGCAAGAGAACTTTTTTAAGAAGCTACCACCTCATCCACTCACTAGTACCCCTCTGAACTTGGTCTTCCACTACCTGCCGACGACGTCGACATGACACCACGACGCGTCTCCTCCTGGTTTGCTTTTTCCTCTTCCTTTGCAGAGAGAGAGATCCAGTAAATCACTGATGAGCAAGACAACCGTGCCCAAAAGATGTAAGCCTCCAGCTCAACTTTGAACTTCTTGAGGTTCCTTCGCTGTCCTCTCGGCCATGTAAATTGTTACCAAGTGGCAAAGAAAGAATAAAGAACGAGACGAGAAAAAAAATGAAAAACTTTCAACTTTTTTAAACTAAGCAAAGAAAACTTGTTCTCATATTTATTTAGTCGAACCAAAAGATGAACTATAGTAGATTTTAGCTGCAGTTTTATTCCGACCCCTCCCCTGATTGTAATTTTGAACCACTATTATTATCATCACAGCATGTTAAAGTATTTGCCAATTCCGGTCCGGTTTTAATATTCACCTCGCATTTCATTTTATGTATCCGAATTTTTGACAAGGTTTGAATCGTGGTTTGTATTTCGAGGAGGAGAAGAACTCACTTTATTTAACCCATCCAGCAAGGGTTTCAAGTGATCTTGAGCAGTTTAATATACGCGTTGTGCTCAATTGTGTGAATACAAAGGGCCCTTGAGTACAATGCCGGGAACCCCGAGAGGGACGGAGAGAGAGAGAGATGGACCCTTTTTCATTGAATTGAATTGTGCAAAGCTCTCAAACTTTATGCCTCCACCGTTCCACCAGGTATACATACGTTAGTTTAGTATGCATCTGGTTCTATATGTAGGTAAGTAAAGTAGGGGAAGGTAGGCTGGACCATGTAAGTAAGCAATATTATTCTCATCATTCTTATCCTGTTGGTGTGGTGCTGCTGCTAAATAAAATTTGAATCGACTTAAACCTTTTAAACCGTGCCGTACTATGCACCACCAGACCAAACCAAGGATACAAACCAACCAACCAACAGCCCAGCCCCCAATTTGGCTTCTTAATGTGTCAAATGTTGATACTTTCCTTATTTAAGTAGTCGCAAGCAACTGATCCTTTTCGCTTCACTTCATCTCTCATCTTTCGCCTTGGTTGAAACGAAACTTTTTCTTAAAATTGTGAGAAATTAGACGCGGTTGGTCACTGGTTTCGTAACAAGGCCAAAAGTAAAGCTTTACTTTACATGTGTACAAAACCACCACCATCCATGGACCGACAGAACAGACTATTATGGAACACATGCAAACCATTTCGACTTCCTCTCTCCTTCCCAATTTAACAATTATTCGAATCAGTGAGTCATAAGGGTCATTCTTTTGCCTCTATTTTTCTCATCTCTCTCTTTCATGTCCTCTCACAAAATTTGGTGCTTTGTTGACAACGATTCCGCTCTTTGTTGGAAGAAATTCTTTTTGAAATTTTTGAATGAATTCTACATTTTTATGTGTCGGTTAGGCAGGAAAATAAGTAAATGGAATGGAACCACGTTGTCTCGTTATTTCTCTATACAGAAAAAAAATAAGACAGCACGACTACTTCCAAGTTCACCCTTACAAATAATAACATTGCCACTCTGCCACCAGACCAAATTCTTTGAAATGTCACATAAACTTGTGTAAACAGGAGGAGAAATGTGATTCTTATTCACTTTTTGAGCTGAATAATTTTATGGATCATTTTTCACCAGAAAAAAAAATTGAATGGAACACAGATTCGTGTTATATTTACAGTCTGTAAATTACAGTACGACTCGGGTGGCCTGGCCAGTGGAGGAAGTATGTGTTACACGATTGGTGGGTGGTTGACTGAGAATCTGCTAGTGACAATTTTTCGGTCAAGTACCACTAAACTTGAGCTTATCTCAATTAAACGCATTTTGCCATTATTGTGTACATGGGGCCATTAGATAAACACTCGAGAACAGTGTAACCTATTGTGGTTCTAGTTTCACTTTATGCACAACCACCACCGTGTCGTGTCATTAAGATAATTCCAAAAGAATGAATAAGATACGAAAAAATTCTATACGAAAATTGAAAGTATTAAAACTGACTGGTTTTCTAGCGCAACATTGAAGAATTGAGTTCGGCTCCTTTGATTGGATTTATCACGACTTGGTCTTGTCTTGTCTTTATGAGCTTTAAATTTTCCGTGGAGTCTTTCATCACTTGAAATTTTCATTCCCTTCTGGCAGCACCCACCAGAAGACCAGCAATGAAATGAAAGTGAAACATGCGTGCGTATGTACGAAAGCCAGTTAAAATAAGCAGACAGCAACAGAAGAAGGATTCCATTTCAAAAGCGAAATCATTTGATACTTTATCTTTAGTAATGTAATAAACGCTTCTTCACTCCACGTGGCAAGACTTTTCACGTCATTAATACATACCCCGAGTTCAACTTCAACTTATGCCAAGAAAAATAGTGCAAATTGACCCCAGAGAATATGCCAGCCGGTAGTACTTTCCTGCTAAATATGAGACATTCCGTAACAGCAAAAAATAATGCTTACCTGATGATTATATCCGACACAAAATGAGACTCAATAAACTTCTCCACTCGAATTATACAGTTCTCCTCTTCTGTCACTAATTTCAATAACGACTAAAGATATAAAACTTATTTTCTTTACGCACAGAATTTTGAAACAACACAAGTTTTACAATTTTTCTGACAGACAAGTGAGTTTGACGTTAATAATATTGCTACACACAGTTTTATCTATTTTGGTTAGGCTTAAAACCTAATGTGAAACAAATGTTGGATGGATTGGATTTTTAACTTTTTTCAAGTTTGTTTTTACGAGCTTTATGACCCACCCAAGGTCTGCACAGGGTGAAAAAAGGTGAAGATTTCGAGTCAGTAATACACTAACGCAGCCTCATCACATATGTTTCACGAGGCTATAAACATTTGCAAATGTTGAAATTGAACTGTTTACGTATTTTTTTCTTCCTCGCCGTCGTGATACTGATACTTTTTTAACGAATTATGATGACAGATGACATTTCAACCCTGGTTTGACACCCGGGCATAAAATATTCGCCCTAGTAAAAGTGCACAAAGTTGTCACTCACTCACTCGAACTAATGCAAAATGCGTGCTCACTCACTTACAGATTTATTGTTTCGTTATGTATTTTTGTTTGTGGTTGAGAATCTCTTTAAATCTGAGGAAAGTGTTATTTTCTTTCTCTATTTTTCGGAGATCAGAGGTTGAGGATAAATCAATCCCAGGGAACGAGAGGGGCAGGTAGAAAACCGGGAGAAAATTGACAGTTTGGTAGACTTTAGTGTTTTAGATCGGATCGTAAAATGGTCCTACTTCCGATTTCGTATTCACGACACGGGGCCCTTGTAAAAGGCGAATTCTGTTCTAATCCCGTGTATAAAAGGAGAAGTTAACTTATTTGTGTTCTTCACTTCCGAGATGCGAATTCAATTGACGGTTTGACACCAGAGTAATATTTTCACTAGGCTTTCACTCTGTCAAAAAAAATCTCACTTTCCCAAATTCGAATATTTTTCTTGGTTTTTTGCCTAATTTGTTTATTTTTTCGGAAAACTTTCAGCTCTACTTAATAAAGGACCTCGTTTTTTTTAGAGAAAACAAGTAAATGCCCGGATCGGAGTTTTTCTTGATTTATAAAGTTTAGTTGTATGGATTTTGTGCACAAAAGTGTGCTGTGGTTTGTCTCGGTTCGTGCCAGGCAAAGGTTTCCACTCAACTAAAAGAAGACTGCTCCGCGTTTGGAGAGAAAAGAAGGAAGAAGAAATTCTCTTTTATTTTATGTACTGATCGGACCTTAGGACGCTTACAACGGTTCGTGAGACGCTCTCCCCAGCGCAACTCGGATTCAACTGAGGGCAAAGTAATGGGAAAAGCCTGTTTTGATCACGATTCTCCAACCCAGCTCAAAACAGAACCAAACTTCTACTACTACTCTTTCCTACTTACAGCTTATGTTAGGCATGACCAAACTATGTAGAAAACTAAACTGCTCTTACGTACATACATAGATTGCTCAGTCGCTTCGCTATTACTCCTAGACGGATCGAGGGATGAAGGAGTGTTGAGTTTCAAACAAACGCTTTATTCTCTGACTGGCTTGGCTGGAAGGGGCCTGGACGATGGTGCAATACTTTTCGTGGTCTGGTCGCGTGAGGAGAGATGAGAATTGGATGCTTAAAAATCGTCTTATTTTACAAGAATTTTGTTCAAACAGCATTATCGCACTTTTCATAGCAAAGTAGTAATCTTTCACAAATTCCACTATTTTGTGACGCAACTATTTGACCAGTGTCCACCCACCCGTCCGAAAATAGCAGCAGACTGGACACCGGACTCTGAATATCTTGTCTCCATCCGTCCACCAAACATTCAAAAGAAGACGAGGTGGCTAACGAGAATCGTGCAGCAATTTGGAGTAATTTTATCATCTCATCATCCTGATGGCCCTTTCTCTCCGTGCCATGTTCATGTTAAGGTAGTGATGTCATGCATGATGTGATGTGATGAGATATCTCCCCACCACCACCACCACCACCGAATGATATCCATTATTACACAACCAAGATTGAGGAGTTACAGATATAGCGTCATCATTATTACCACGACCAAGAACAAGAAGAATAATAGCTTTACCCAAGTTTCCACTACTACAAATGTTTGTGGGAGTGATGACGATACGACGATATAATATTCGAATTGGGCTGGAATGTCGCCGCTGCATGTTCTTTCCATGCATCTAGCCTGCTTTTTCTCGTTCGTGATTTCCTTCCGAATTCTCTCAGGACGAGCCTGGTTTCGTCTCAACCTTCAAACCACGTTCCCATCGCGGACAATTATTGTCTTCGAGATAGAATGAATCCAAGCGTGCCCGATGCATGGCAACTTTGTCTCCGTGTGGAAATGTTTTATTATTATTGCTCGTCCTCTAAAAACATGACATGGCACTACAGCAGCATTTGAAAATCATGGGAGAACGATTCCTCTACTCATTCATTCATGGATACATAAATTTGGGGACGAACGAATCCTTGCAAACTTGGTCAATACATTGTTTGTGTGCATACATTTCGTCGTTAATCCCTTATTATTCATTCACAATACGTAATAAGGTGTATATTCGAAATTGTGTGCGTATATATTTCGGTTGGACGCCTTATGGGACGTGGATGTGCATGCATGTGGTGGTGTTGCTTTACTGTGTATGTATTGTGTTCATGTATGCAAAGTGGCCAAATAATAAGTACTGCTAGGAAAGGGTTGAGAGCACTGTATGGATTTGGTCCGAGAGAGAGAGAGACATTTCACAACAGATTTATGGCCTCCTCGTTCTCCTTGTGCATTCATTTTCCCATCAAGCCCAAGTGATTTAATGTGGGAAATCTGTTTCAATCAAAGTGCAAATTGGGTGAGTAATTTCATATGCAAAGTAAAGGTTACACATGAGAAAAAGAGAGTGTGAGGGACGTGGCGTGTGGTGTTTTCTACACTTTTTGTGGTGGTGCTGCTTTCTCTGCTACTTTCTAATAAATAGAAATATGAAGGAGCAACTAATAATGGAGGTCTCCCAGTGTATGCTCTCTTGATTTTGACTAACAGTGTGAGGCGATCGCAAATTTGATTAGTATGAAATTTGCATATATGTTCACGTTTGGCAGACATATTTGCAGCCAACAGGAGAAACCGTGCGGAAAGTGTAACATTTGTCAACTTAGGGCACATTTTCTCCTCTTCGAATGCAAATATCCTGCAAAACCTGTACATTTGGATATCGTGTCTTTGCAAATTCGTGATCGATTGATACAAATTTGCCCAAAATCTGATAGCATACGCTGTGAGACCTCCATTGTAAGTCTAACCACCCACAAAAAATGGGAACGATCTCATTATTTAAGAAGCAGGGCAGCAGGAAAGATATTATTCAACACGGTTCATCATTCATCTACCCTACACAACAACCCGAGATTTATGGCTTTTAGTAAAACTCACTGAATCGGATTAGTAGTCAGTCGGTCGGTTGGTTGGTTGGTTGGTAGTGGTTTGGTCGGATAACTAAATCAAAATTCCGTTCCTTCAGGTTTAGCAAACATCTCACTATTGCAAAAACAACTTCCTGGTCCAGTCTTTCCTTCGAAAGAGCACCGTTTCGCAGTTAATGTTGGAGAAAACCGCGGCTGAGCCGAGATAACTCATCTCCTTCACGGGAAGGAAATCAGTGGGGATATCGGGTGAGATGATGGTGATGAGAGAAATGTTGCCCGTCTTGTGAGACGATTTATTTCTCCAGTTTTAATGCCCCCAATTTAACCTGAATAAATACATCAGCCATTTAAATTTCTGTACAAAGTTGCAAAGTAGACCAATTTTAGGAACATTTCTCTAATCGCAAGGCCATCAAGAAACTTCGCAGTACATAAAATGTACGAAAAAAGCAGGATTTTTTCCCCGATTTTTTCACATTCTTATCTTCTGTTCCTGCTATATTATCGTCTACCTGATTGTCTACCTGCCCTGATTTTATTACGTGTGCAGCCCGTAGGATGACGATGACGATGATCATCATCTTCCTCTTCCTCCCAGAAACAGAAAGTTTCCCCAAAAAACGTAGGAATTGGATCAAACCAAGTAAACAACAAAGGTGAAATAGAACGTAGCCCTATTTCGAATCCAATACCATTGAAGAAACCAACACGTCCGGAAAATCAAGCAGGAATGAATTGACTCCCAGTTTCTGTGCTCCTGGTTTTGATTCCGGTCTGGTTTTCCTACATACCTTCGCATCATATCATCCACCATTTATTTATATTTATATTGTATTGCGTTCCCATTTCCATAAAGTTTCTGGCAAGTATTTGCACTCTGAGCACATATTCCGTACGTACCAAAGAATACCTTGCTGCTTTCCTTCCTGGATGGATCAACGTGGATGTGATTCCATTTTATGGGCTTTCTTCCTTCTCATGATCACGCATTGACTGACTTTGAGATTTGTCACCTTTGGGGTTCGAGATTTCATTTCGTGACTCGCAGCAAGCAGATTTCGCTTCATTTGTAATGTGTCGTCGTAGTCGTCGTAAAATAATGATAATAACTTCGACCCGAGGTTATTTGTTCCAAAATTGGCGTGAAGTTATTACCTAATTTCGCCCCGTGTTATTTTCACGGGTGGAAAAACAGTAAATAATGCGATTTCAGGTACCTATTTAGCACTCGGATCATAATAATAGGTAGCTTATTTATTTTTGTCCAACCAAGGTCCGTCCACCCGTCGTCAAAAATATCAACAACCTCGACCAAAACCACTAACTACTTACCATTGCCAGGGACGAATAAGGTACTTATCTCCGTCATCCACCTCTGTACATACTTACTCCCACCACCACTTTCGGATAAAGCAAACCACAACAAGAACCGCACAGCCGAGCCACGAAACGAATGAACAAACACTTTTCATCTGAATCCTATATTTCTCTTTCTTCTGTATTACTCAATCCTTCCTCTTGTTGTTCAATTGACAAAGGATAAAAAAACTCGAGAACCCATAAGTTGGGCTAAATGTCTCTCTCTCGGATTGTGTCATTTTACACCAGATTTATGATACGCTGCTCTCAGGAGGGGAGCTTGCGAGGTTGATAATAACAGATCCTGATGCCCTTTGGATATGTGATAGGGACCCATGAGTGTACTAAAACCCTGAAGTGGTTTAACTCCATGGCCACATTTGCGCCCGCCACACCCACTCAAAAATACCCAAAAAACGCTTTCACTCCAGTTTTCACTCACTCAAAACCTCGCCAAAAATCCAATTTTACTCGGATTTTGAAATTTCTTTCACCATTACACTCCCAGATAGTTGCTTTCTTCAATCCAATATCAAACTCAATTTTGCTGATGATTATTTCGCAGGGATAATTTGCGTTGTTGATTACTACAACAATGCTCATTCAGAATTTTAAATTTTAAAAATACTAAAAATTTCGAAAATATTGAGTTTGATATTGGATTGAAGAAAGCAACTATCTGGGAGTGTAATGGTGAAAGAAATTGCAAAATCTGAGTAAAATTGGATTTTTGGCGTGGATTTGAGTGAGTGAAAACTGGTGTGAAAGCGTTTTTTGGGCATTTTTGAGTGGGTGTGGCGGGCGCAAATGTGGCCATGGAGTCAAACCACTTCAGGGTTTTAGTACACTCATGGGACCCTACCACATATCCAAAGGGCATCAGGATCTGTTATTATCAACCTCGCAAGCTCCCCTCCTCAGACCAAGTCTTGTACTTTTTAAGAGAGAGAGAAGAAAAATCCGATCAAGTGAGAGCATCAACTATACTTTTTCCCAATTGTTGTGTTGCTTGCTTACCTCGGAATCCTCTTAAATAAAGAAAAGAGCGAAATCATTGTTGCAAAATTATTCGAATTGTTGGTCCACGGATCCAAGTGCTGAGCAAGTTATGGGTTCAATCCTATTTTATTTTATTTTATGTCATGTTACACCTTTCTTACAGACTCGAATTCTTTCATCGATTGAATAGTATGCAGTCAGCCAGCGACAACGAGAATTCTGTGATACGGCACATTTTTTACCTCACTCCCCAACGACGCCTATAGTGTCAACATGTCAGCAAAGTTGATGAGCGTATGGGCAACAACGTTGAAACAAAGATTAGACTTTCGGCACGACTCTCCAGTCCAAAAAGACAATTTGTAAGTGTAACAATTTACAATTGTTTTGTCCTCGTGGTGTTTGTTGCTGGCTGGTGACGTGCAAAATACAGCAGGGGAATTTGTAAACCTCGTGAGGAAAGTATTGTCACGGACATTTGCAAGTTTTTACGTCAACACTTGTTTGG